CTGGTGCAAAATGGAGCAAGGAAGAACAGCAGCAGGACCCAGCTGGGCCGCTGCTCTGAGCCTCAGGTGGTGCTACCCGGTGTGGGGCTGGCACAGAGCATCCCATAATCACCTGGAGACGCGTGGCCAGCACCTATCTGCCGCTCTGACACAGAACCTCCCAGGATGCAGGGCTGTCACTGGCTTAAATGCATTTATTCCTGCATCTCGTGCAAGGTGCTCTGATGCAGCAGTAAGTGGCGCCGGCCAGGAAACCAGAGCCCAGGGCTGAGGGGCACAAGGCTCGGTGGACCCTCCTGCTCGCTTTGCGGCTGCTGGCACAGAAGAAATAAGCAGTGCTGGGAGCACCATGCAGGAGGCAGGGCTGGGACACAGCGTGCAGACCCACGTGGTGGGGGATGGACACGGGTGGGCTGCAGGGCCATTCCAAACCCACAGGCTGCAGCCCGGCTCCTGCATCCCACCCGGCGTGGGTCTGACCTCGGGATGGGAGGCAAAGAGCTGGGAGCGCTCTGCTTCAGCCTTGCTGTCATTAATATGGTTTATGACATGAATATTTATAAGTGAGGATGTGATATTAAAAGCGTACACACATGAAATATTAATATGGCACATGTCATAACTGCAAACCCAACAGATAGGTGTGAATGATGGCACTGTAGCTCAGCCATCACCACTTCCACTGATAGGTCTGTAAATGGTAAATAATATTAACTAATTAATCTTCACAGCCCTCCTTGGAAGTTTTGAAGCAAGCATTTGCTTACAAACCATGTGCAGCTCCTCTCCCCAGCCCGCTGGCTGGGCAGCAGACCGACACGGAGCCGCTGCTCCTCACAGCACCGCCCCGGGTTGGGCTCTGTTGCTGGGAACGCTGCGCTCTGCACAGCCGTGCTCTCCAGAGGCTCATTTACGAAGCGATAGAAGTGACAAGGGAATAAAAGCCATCCTCATCCAGCAAAGCGCTAACAATAATGCTGCCTCCATTTATATCTTATGTCACGACTTTCATCCGAAGCTCTTACAGCACTCACTGCACTCAACAAATGCCAGCCCCGTGCGGATGCTTTTCCAAAGGCCCCGGGTCAGAGCCAGGAGGAGCTTCCCTGCAGCCCCCTCCTTCCAAAGGCTGCAGGCTCCATCCCAGCTCCCCAGGCGCAGTGCAGCAGACACAGCTGTGCTCCGGAGGACCAAAGCAGGCAATGACTTCTCTATGTTTTAAACACTCTCCTCAAAGCCGCTTAGCGATGTCTTTTTAAACGCACGTGACCTTGCTCTGCTTGAGAGAGACGGCGATAAACAAATAATTGCTGTGACTCTTAATTGTATTTATATCTCATCTAGAAAAATGTCAATTAGAACTTCAGAGGTCAACTGCAAAACTGAGGTTCTGGCAGTCGGGCAACGCAAAAGGCAGTTTTACTCCTGAGAAAAGCACCCTCCCTGGCAGAGCCCGGCAGTGTCCCGCTGGCAGCGCCCCCTCTTCCTGCAGTGAGCACAGGGGCCGCACGCCGCCCCCCTGGGCAGCAGCACTGCCATGCAGGGCAGTCACTGAGCTCTGCGCTGGGCTGGGGCGATGCTCTGAGCGCCCACACGTGGGACACCGCGCATCGCGCAGCCGGCCTGTCTGACTTTAATTTTGTTTAGTTTTCAGATTAAAGAAGCCCAAATCACATGCTGTCACTTCCCTCCTCTCTCCCCTGCCATTCCGAACCACGTGAGAGTTAATTGATATGAAAATAACTCTGGGGGCTGCACGGCTTTGGAAAACATATAGCATTACATTTAATACCAGCAATTACGACTTGGGGGATTCAATCAGTCAAAATCTTTATTTTCCTTTCTGCACAGTCAAGCTGTGGGACTGCTGCAGCACAGCACACAGCCCTGCAGGCAGCACGGGGTATGGGCACTGCCCACAGAGAGCACCCCAGGGCACCACCTCTCCCCATCACCTTCTCCTGACTACACCTACTTGCTTAACAGCCACAGAAAGGGAGAAAGGGGTTCCTGAGCAAATTCATCCATCAGGAGACACTGCACCCTGCTTTCCCTTCTGCTAAGAACCAAGGGTGGGGAGATGAGCCTGCTCCCGCAGCCCTTGCTCAGCAGCCAGCAGCTCCATGCAGGGCACCCCCAGGGATGTGCCCCACACCTGTCTGTGCAGTGAAGGCAGAAGGGCATCATCATCTTGCAAGGTTCCCTCCAACCCCAAAGATCAATAACTAATGCTGAACTCAAGATTTTATCTGCTCTTTGCAAGGGTAACGAAATAACACCACCCTCGCTTCTACTTTCCAATTACTGAATCCTTTCAAGACTGACCCAGTAATTTTCAGCTCTGTGAAATTTTAGGCAGCAAAAAAAGTGATAAAAGTGATCTTCCACAGCTCTTACAGAACTTGTGTGTTTTTTCTCCCTATACAGAAATGTAGAAGTACAGTGCAGGGAGCAGAAATTCCACATTACCAACCTTACCCAGAAACAAATGGAATCATAAAAGAAGGCAATGCGGACAGCGGCCTTCTACATGTCCACCCTTTGCATCCCACTGCTGAGGAGGGGCCTCGCAGCACGAGCCTGGTCCCACCAAGGTCAGCCTGCTTTTCCAACAGAGCTCCAAGCAGCGAGCGCTGCTCCCACGGCGTGCGCACAAACTGCCAGCTGCCCATCCATGCGGCGAGGCAGATCAGCAGGAGACGCAGCAGCTCTGCCTCTCACTTCCTTCACAGACCACGAAGGAGTGATGGGGTATCAGAAAACAAAAGGACATCACAGAGGAAGCAAAGTGGTTCACTTGATAATATTTTAGAGGGTATGAAAGTTCTGTGCTCCACTGCTCCATCAGCGTTTCATTTGAGGCCTCCCAAGGCATTACTAACACTGCTCAGCACTGAGCAGTTCTGGGATTGCCTCCGTCTGTGGGGGCTACATGTGAGCATGGCCACACCAACTGCTACCGGAGCACACAGGCAGCACACATGGGACAGTCTTACACCAACAGACATCCTCCATTTCCTTGCAGCAGCAGAGAGTGAATTCTAATACTTTTCCTTGCCCACGTTGATCATTCTAGGCATACACTAACTACAGTAAACCACAGCGGATATTTTATCTGCCATTTCTCTTTCCCTTGGCTAATTTGACAATACAGATTGCAACCCACAAGTGGTTTTAAGAATTGCTATTAACGCTGCTGCTCGCATGCTACTGCATTTTAAACGTGTTTCCAACACAATCAGAATGTCACAATTTGTAAAATCCAGGGTGATTTTATAAACGATCGATGCCACAGAACCCGCTCCACGATGACAGCCTGCCCGGCAGCTCATTAGCCTGATTAGTGGCAGCTACCTGCACAGGGAAGGAGAAAATGTCTGGGGAGACAGGCTCAGCTCAGACACGGGGCCAAAGACGGCTGTGCCTCCTGAGTTGTTATGCTTGCTTCTTCTTCCCTCCGCTCCATGGCAGAGGTGAAGGTCAGAGCTCAGCCGCAGTGTCCCCCTGCTGCAGGGCTGGCTCCTTCCTGCAAGAACTCGGGCTGATCCCAGCAGGGCTGCCCTTGGGCTGTGAGTGACAAGGACCACTGCTGACCAGGAAGCTGAAGCAGCCGTGGCTGAGACAACAGCTGTGTCAATTGAGCAAGCCCCTCCGAGAGCCACCGCGCAGACATGGCCGGAGCGTGAAGGCTGCAGGACAGACCTCCAGCTGTGCACCCCTGCGGGAGCCACAAGCTGTGCTGCCTCCAAACACGCTTTGTGAGAGCAGGAGGAGGCAGCACCCATCGGTCCCACTGCAAGGGAATGGTGGCACAGTGCTCCTCATGCCCCCGGGGCTCCCCAGCTGCCAGGGCTCTGTTGGAGCTCTGCTCCTCAGTGCGAGGCGCTCACCCGGACCGCAGCATCATTTATTTCTGCTGAAAGGAAAGGCCATAATGCTGAAATAATCCTCAGCTCGTTTTCACAGAGCTGTACAAGCAGTAATGAAACCTTATCTGTCCACTGAAATATGTGGATGGGATTCGTTTTCTGGAGATCTTGCTCACTCTGTTATCGACACATGATGAGCAGCCCCAAACTTCACAACCCAAGCACACCTGAAACCCCAGCGAAGGGCTCGGCACCCTGATATCCTGGTCTCAACCCCTACTTTACACCCAGCTCACCCCAACACCCACCGCCCTGGTACAGCCTCTGCACATTCTGTGACACGGGTGGATCCAGGGAGAACAGCCATGGTCCTCAAGCTTTGCAAGCCCACTTGGTCACCTTTCCCACAACTACATGTAAATGATATCATCTGAGCCAGCAGCCAGGCCCCACTGACTCTGGGCCAGGGAACATCACTTCAGGTTCCCTGAACAGCAGCCCCAGCCAACACCCCCAGTGCCACGAGCACGTCTGGATCTCAGCACTCGTGTGCCACATGGCAACACCTGGTGTGAGCCCAGCACCACTGCAGGACCCCGAGCTGTGAGCGTGGTTCTACCAGGAGCACTGCAAACAGAGGGCAGGTGGGCAGCACAGCGACCAGCACTGCAGGGATGACGTGTGTGCAGGGAACAGGAGTGTATGCAGTTCTCCCAGCAGGGTTGGGGCTGACCGTGCTCGGATGCACATCCCATGGGGTGAACAGTGGGGACACAGAGACTTTCCCTCGCTCTGATGCAGCTCCCTTCCCTGTGCCACACGCTGGCGCCAGGCTTCACCACCTCTGGGGACAGCACAGAGCCTGACAGTGATCCTACCAAACGTAAGTCATCAGGCTGACCAGAGAAATCAGCTCCAATACGAAAACCCACATGGGACGTGGCATTACATGTCACACAGCCCTTCCTCCGTACACCCACAGGACACAGGAAGCTGCCTCAAACATGAGGAGCTCTGCTGATTTAGCTCCACTGCATTTAGCCACACAGTCACCACACTGACACTGATTTTGGCTGTGCTCAGCATGCCGACTCTGTCACAGAGGTGATGGCTGAGCTGCTGCTCTCTTACCTCTATGCCTGTTGGTCGTCTTGTCAAACATAAGCATGGCGTCCTCTACCTGCAAGACACAAGGGAGAGGCGTGCTTAACACACCCAGCTGGGTTGGCAGAGGCACACAAACACAGCGGGATGATGGCGGAGGCCTCGGCTCAGGCAGTGCAGGTGCATCACATCTCCTTCCTCTGGCTCAGAGTCAGCATCGCCCCTTGGAAACCTGCTGCTTCCAACCTGTGCGCTCGCTGACATCTGATCCTGAAGCAGAAAAGCGGACGTTAGCAGTACTGACACCCTACAAAGCCCAACGTCCAGGCGGCCCTGCCAGCTCGCCATGCCCCACCTCAGCCTCTTTCCCTTTTGTAGAGATAAAGGAGGGCTGAGGAATCATGGATGCAAATCACGCCCGTGACTTCTCCAAATCAGTGCTGCTGCCTTGGCTGTGAATTGGGAGGTTTCAAGGAGCGGGAGCAGGGCAAAATCTGGTCAGCCAAGAAAGGTATTCAGAGGGTTTCAAAGGGCCCTTTGAAAAGCTGGAGGAGAGGGCAGAGGGAGGGGGAGAAAGTTTAATTCGCATCAGGCCTGGCATTTCCACTTCAGAAGAGAGATGACTGATGAAACGTACTGAAGTGCAACCAAATTGCTTTCAACTTTCATTACTATTTGCATGATTTATTCCACCTCCGTTTAATCTGTGTAGCCACACCTAACATTTTACACTTATTTTAGAAGGTTGTTGGGCTGGGATTTCTCACCACGTTTTGAACTGGTGCTCAGGGGCTGTGGGTCAGTCCTGCACGCTGCAGGAAAGGTCCTGCAAGCCCTGTGAAAAGACTTCCAGGCTTCCTGCTCCTTGTTTGAAACCAGGGGCTGATGAAAACCTGCACCATTGCTAAATTGCAGGAGACATCAGGGATGGTTATCTTTTTAAGGTTTTTCTTCCATTTGTTTTTTTTTTTCCCCCCTCTGATTTCTATGAGATTTTCATGTATTTACACTCAGGATTTCTATAAACCACACACCTTAGAAGAGTTCACAACATCCTACACGCTCCCCTCACCTGTGCAATGCCACCACGGACTCCTCCTCCCATCACAGCAGCCCCTGCCTGCTCTGTGCAGATGGCAAAACACAGCTCAAGCCTTTTAACTGCTGCATTAAAACACACTCCAGGATACAGCAAAAATGCAGAGCAGCAAAACCTTTTGTTATACCAGGGTGCATTTAGCAACCTGTCTCTGGTTAACTTGCTCTTGACTTCTGCAAAGTGCTTTGCAAAATGTGTTAGCAGCAGCTAGAGACAGACAGCAGCATGCCTCCCTAATGCCCACCATCCATGAGACCTAACAATGCTGATGCAATGGAAATCCAAACCACACTAAGCACAAAGTCACTTGTCCTGCTGCCTCTCATCACTTGGAGGAAGAAGATTCACAGGTCTGAGCAATACTGGGATGCTGATAAGGACGGCGCTCCGCCCACCACGAGCACTGATCTCCAAGTAAGGTTACATCTATACAGCAGATCTTGTCATTCTCGCAGCTCTTGGCCCCACGGGCAGTAAGAATGACCCCTTGCACTCAGTGCCAGTTCTGGAGACCCAGAGACCCCCAACTGCGGCTGGGAGCTTCAGGCTGGAACCCCGGGTGGGGGAAGCAGCTCCTGCAGCCGGTGTCAGGTTTGGATAGAGCGCACCGGTAAGAGCAATAATCAGGGGGGTGTTCTTGGAGCCAGCTGGTGCCCTTCTAACAATGCCTAATTGGTTATCTTTTCTGCTTCCTAAGGTCAGAACATTTTATCTCCCTCTCTGCCCTTTTGGAGTTTACCCCACCCTGCGTTATTTTGTAGGGCAGCCATTGTAGCAGAAGAATAGGCTCTTTCCTCTATAGTCCGGTGACACAATGAGACTTCTTGAAACCTCCTGAATAGACAGAGTGCAACGGCCAAAGAAAAATTCTATTAATGCTTTGCAAAATAAAACATCTGAGAGCTGGTCAGACAAGCAGGAGAGGAAAATCAATACGCAGAGAGCAGCGCTTAGAGAAACTTTTCACCGGTTGCAAAAAGGTGGTGAGGGTACGGGAGGGAGGGGGAGAAAGAAGCTGATTAATGCAGAAAACCCATCAATGGTATGGAAATCTGGCAGAACAGCAAGAGCTGAAACTGGAAGAATTTGAATATACAAAGGGCTGAATAGAATGAGAAAACCACACTGCCTCACACGCTGCCCGTTTCTCACGGTTCTCTGTGAGTCTAACACAAGCGGCTTGTTCGAGCCCTCACCAAGGAGAAATAAGGGACGCAGTCAAGGTAACTGGCAGGAAACCCCGTAGTAAGCAAATTGATCCCTGCTGCAAGGGGAGAAAAAACACAAAGCCTGCAGATGAAACTCAAGGCGTTCGGTAGCGGTGACCCTCCTGCAGTTCACCCCTCACAACGCGGCTCCTGCGCTGCCCTGCGCTCGGAAGCTGCTCTGCAGGGAGAGCTCTGCCAGCCTCAGCCCAAAGCCTCGCTGTGTGCCGCAGGAAGTTTTCTGCAGGGTCGAAGCAGGGCTGCGAGGCCCATCAACTCCCAGACCCGTGCTCCCCCCAGGCCCTTCTTCCCCCCAGGTCCAGAGTGCCGCAGGGCCATCTGCCCCACAGCACGGGCACGGTGCTCCGAGGCAGCCCTGACCAGTGCACGCTGCTATGGAGGCCGATGTGAACGGCCGCGTTACAGTGCTCAACTCGGAGCTGAACGGGGCTGATGAATCCTACCTAATAATGAGCAACAAATGAGAGTGTTTCAGAACAAACAGTGTCTCTGCACTTACAGCAAAGGACAGAAAGTTGCCACCCAACGCCAGGAGCAAATGGACTCGGTGTGGATCTGAAGGACTTCTCCCCTGCACAGCACACACCATACCAACACCCAATTTAGACCTGGCTTCTTATACAAAGCCCAGGTAATGGGTTTTAGTTTGTTTAACCTTTTTTTTCCAACCTACTTGGGGCTCTGAGAACAGGAAGGGCCAGAGCATTGCTTTAATCACCGCCTGGAAGGAGGAATAAGGACTAAGAGGAGAAAAGAGAAAAAAATGGGGGAGCCAAAGGCTTTAATAATCCTCACAGCTCCAGGCTTATTTAAAATATGCCCAACTAGTTCACAAAGGGATCCACGGAGATAAATCTATTTGATTTTCTTCCACTTTAATGGCGACATATATTTAAAGCAACAAAACCAGGATGACCTAAATAAGATGACTATTAATTGTACTCAGAAAAGCTCTGAATTTAATGCAACGAATCCAGCCAGAACTAGAACACACGCTTTTCTTCATTCATTCCTCCCACTTTCCTCTTAAGGATTTTCAACTCCTCTCCTTTGCCCGGGTCCGTCCTGAGCGGTCAGAGATGATCAAACACGGCGCAGCCCATCACCGCTCGCGCCCTAATGAGTGAGAAGGCTGAATCCTCTCTGCGGATGAGAGGCAATTCCGCGAGTTGCCCGAGGACAGCAGTTTCAATCAGCCACCACAGGCAGCTGAATCTGCCGCAAAATCAGTGAATGCTCAGCCAGAAAACGGCAATGACTCAAACTGGGGATTTTCTGGGAAATTTCATGTCTGGTCTTTTATTTCTGCAACCTGGATTTGGGTGCTGGGCCTCATCAGCTGCGCTCAAACCAGAGCTGTCACAGGTTCCCACAGAGACCACCCTGGGACAGCCCAGGACCACCCTGCGCAGGAAGGCTCTGGAGGCACAGCTCCACGTCCCGCACAGCCCTGCAAACCCAGAGGGCAGCGGGAATAAATGCAGCCACTGTGGCTGCTGTTATTTACAGGGTGTCTGTGTGCAGGCACAGGGATGACAACAGCCCCTATTTCATGTTCCCAAGTTCTTTTTTTTTCCCCTTTGAATCAAGTTTGCTCATTCGGTGCAACCTCCACGGGGAAACCACTGACTTTCACAGCTCTAACCGACACACAGCAGCCTTTATTCCTCACATCTCCTCATCCAGTCCTGGCAAGTCTGTCCTGATCCAAAAGCTGAGTTCCTGACATATCCTGCGCAGGTGGGGACCCCCCCTGTTCCCAGGAAGCACAGCAGGGCTGGGCTAGGGCTGCTCTGAGCTCTGCAGCCCCACAGGGAAAAGCTTTGGGGCAGAGAAACGAAGCAACGCACTGCAACCTAGCGCTGTGCCCGTTCACACGAGGCCCTAGGAGAACAGCAACTACACAAGGATGACACTCAGTGACATGTGTTGTGCTGTGTTCCTATCCCTCTGTCCCAGGTCTGCAAACTGCACAGGTCTGTCATCTTCAGCAATCCTGAGACAGAGCGCCGGACATTCTTGTCCAATTCCTCAAATTATTTACACACACTGCACAGCTCCTACAATATTTTGCTTCCAGAAGCAGAAAAGCCTCTTAGCTGCTAGTAAACTGTCAGGTGCTATTATTTTAAATGTGCATGTGAAATCTGAGTGCCAGCAACGCGCTTCTGCTGATGCACAGCCTCCCCCCGCACAAACTGAGACAGATACCTACTGCACGTCAGAAAAAACAGTTCCCCCAGCACAGGCCAAAACCTGTGACCATGACCACATTCCCGGCAGCCGTGGCTGTGTGGCAGCAGAATGGCACCCGCGGCACGTGGCACATTTGCGCACACCTGGGGGCCGGGCGCACGCGGTGCGGTTCCTCACTGAGCGCATCCTGACGTCCCCCAGCGATGTCGCACCAACCCACGGCCCGCGCCTCGTGCACCGCGCTAACCATCGACGCCACGCTGCGTGACAGCAAATTCCAGCACTAGCAATCTTTCCCCCCAGCAGTCAAGTCTTTAAAAAGTCTTCTTTGGCAATTACAGCTAATAAAACTACAATTTCATTCAACACACACACATCATCGTAACTAATTTTGCTCCGTCAGGGCTGAAATTAAAACAGTCATTCAATCACAGCAATCCCAGGGCTCGCCCACCAGCCGGGACGCAGCGAGGCGCTCCCAGCCCCCAGCAGCGCCGTGCACTCCGTGCTCCCACACGAGGCCGAGGCGCTGCTCCACACGCGCTCTCCCAGCGG